CGGGGCGCAGCCCGCCCCTCTGTTTCGGGCCTTCCGTTTGCTTGGGAGGGCGGGAGGGCTGGGAATGAGAGCGGGGACGCGCTTCCCCCCTTCCACATTGCCAGGCGTCAGAGTCACGCTCTCCTGGGGCTTCGTGGGACCGCGGCACCCGGGAGCGCCGTCCCGCGCCTGCGCCTGCGCCGTCCGCAGCTTTGGCATTTGCGGGAAACGCGGGCGGCTCTTCATCTTCCCGGTTCGGACCTTTAGTCTCAGTAGCGGGGGCGGCGTCTCGGTTCCGCTTAGTGAACGGGAGCCCTCGTTTGATTTTCCAAGGGCAGAAATTCTTTTAAATTGTGTGTCTTTCGAGATTTATTTCAGTCCTTGGGTAGATTTTCAATGAGCTTCTGGAAAAACTTTAGACTATCTTTCTCTTCCGAGTGTATTTTCCCAGGGCAGATACGGTAGTGATAGGAGCAGTCACCATTTATTCAGCACTTGGTGGCCGGCGCGCCGCCGAGCTCTTCGTGCGTTTTCCCATTCAGTCCCATGAGGTTGTTATTTTACGGATGAGTAAACTGAGGCTGAGAGACTGAACGCCGGCTCTGACAGCCAGTGAATGGCAGAAGCAGGATCAGAACCAGGTTCGTCCAGCTCCAAAGCCTGGGCTTAGTCCCTATCCTGTAATGCTTTCCTAAATTATTACCACAGATTCAACTCTTACCAAGGTTCCCCCAGTTATATTAGGCAGTTCTGATCTGTTTTCTCAGCTACTCAACTGTTATATTTTTATGATATTCCTGAAACCGACTGCGGGGCACTTCCTGACAGCACTGCATAATATTTTGTCTTCCGATACCCAGGCCGCATCTTCCTGACTAAGCCCAACAGCTGGTTCCTACTCTTAACGTTCCTGAACAGCGCTCAGATCTCCCTGGCGACATCACCTCCTCTCAGATGCGCCCCCCTCCCGCCCCTCCCTGAATGTGCCCACTCCACACATTTGCCAGGCTTCTCTTTTTAACTGTTAACAATCTTCTCTTAGTTGAACACTTTAATTCCAATTTCTTAGGTGTTTAGTAAGTAGGGTAGATTTTGCACCCACTGGACGGAAACACTACTGTCTGCTAGTGTTTCTCACTAGAATATGGATTCTTTTTTGGGTGTTGTCATTTTGAATGTTTAAGTACTTCACTGATTTATTTGATTTTTTTTTTAAATATTAGAAAGTGGCCAGTTAAATTTAAAACATCAGATTATAGATTAGCATTTCTTGTGACTCTAACTTTGAACAATTTAATTGATTAGCTTACAGCAGTGTGCTGGAATGTGCTTTTTCTTTTTTGCTTGGGTAATGAAATTTAGAGCAGAATTTGTAAACATTTTCTGGACCCTGCCACTGCCGTACGAAAGCCAACATAACTGAGCATGTCACTGAGCGTGTGGTCCAGGGCAGGTTTACTTACGGACACTGAAATTGGAATTTCACACAATTATTTTTAATACTTAATAGACTTTTAGTACAGTTTTGGATTTACAGAATAATTGAGCACATAGCAATAGGATTCCATATCCCTCCCCCTTTCCCCGATTTCTAACATCTTGCATTAGTGTAGTACACTTGTTACAGCCGATGAGCTGGTGTTATCATTATCATTATGTACATTATCATTAACTGAGAGCCATAGGTTACATTAAGGTTCACTCTGCACTGTACATTCTGTGAGTTTTGACAAACGTGTAATATCAGGTACCTACCATTACGGTGTCATAGAGAATCATTTCACTGTCCTAATAATCCCATGCTCTACCCATTCATCCCTCCCTCCCTGGCAACCACTGATTTTTTCACTGTCTCCCTAGTTCCTAGTTTTGCCATTTGCAGAATGTCTTAAAGTTGGGAGGGAGGGAGAGAGCAGGTAGAGGGAGAAGGTGTGGGAAAGGAGGTGGGGGAGGAGAGGGACAAGAAAAGGGAGTGGGGATCTTTCTCTTCTCGTAAGGCCACAGCCCTACCAGATAGAGCCCCGCCCTTGTGACCTCATTTAACTTGTCTAAACGATGGCCTTCTTTTTTCTTGACTAGGATCCCACCTGCAAACACGCATTGCTTTCACTCGTCTGGAAGGTTCCTTAGTCTTTTCCTGCCCTTCGTGACCTTGACAGTCTTAGGGAATACAGGTCTCTTATTCCGTAAGGTGACCCTGAGGCTGTCCACTGCTCACGACCAGGCCGTGCTTCATGGCAAGGACGCCAGAGAAATGACACTGTGCTCTTCTGAGCATATCGCGTCTGGACACAGCCTTGTTCTGTCCATAGGTGGTGGTCACCTTGATCACGGGGTCGAGTTGCTATCTGCCGGGGTTGGTTCCCCGCTGTGCAGTCGCTGTTTCTCCTTTTGGATTTGATTACTGTTTGGGGGCAGATAATCTGACATGATACCAGTATCCTGTTCCTCGCGGAACCTCCGGCCAGCAGCCCTGGCCTGCCGCGATCACGCCAGCCCATGTCACTACCACTCTAGTGCCAAATGGGGGTCATCCCTTCATTCTGTCTGCGTTTGTTAGTTGACGCTGTACCGTACGAAAGAGATTTCTCCGTGTGTGTGTGTGTGTGTGTGTGTATTTCATCATGGACCATTGATTCCTGTGTGATTCAGTGGGTTGTAGTCTGGTACTCATTTAATTTGGATGCTCAGATTTTCCCAGACTTGACCAGCGGGAGTCCATTCGTATCAGCTCTTCTATTCTTTTGATGTGTTCTCCTCAGTCTCTGAGAAATTTCCTTATTTTCTGTCACGACAAAGTTTTCCAGTTTCATCCTGCATTTTTTCCTCTTTAGCCCTGGAACTGGCCATTTCTCCAAGGCGCCCTTAGTGGACTTGCGTTTAGTGGAGGGTGGTGTTCAGTTCCAAGGTCTGAGCACAGTGTCGTCATCGCTACTGAGGTGTCGTTGCTGCTAGGACCTTTCAGCGGAAGCTAGTCCTTTTCTGGGAATCATGGGAATAACCTTTCATTATTACTACACACAGTTTTTTGCTTATGTTCTGTTTTGTTGGCGGAATGTTTCTGTCATCGGCCGAGTTAACAGACGGCGGGGCAGTTCCTGGGGGTGCGACGTGAGGAAATGGCAGCGTCAGGGGCGTGATGGCAGGGAGGGCGTGGAGTACAGGAGGCGGACCCAGGTTTGGAGAACTTCACAGTTTCCGAAGTTCTGAAAATGGCAGGGAAGGTAGACACTCTACAGATTGCACGGAGGTCAGCTGTCTTTGGCCTTGTCAGCAACTTGACCTCTACAGAAAGTTTCAACCTAGTTCATTGAGGAATATTTTCTGTGTCCACAGACTTCTTGGCTTATAATGAAATCTTGTTAGGAAGTTGGAATACGTTGAATGGTTTGGATGAGTACGCGGTTAACTGTCTAGGCAGAGAATCGGCTGTGCCCCTAACTCACGGGGCTGGCGGACGCGCAGTGCGTGTGCCGCCACCACCCTCGCCTGCCGTCACAGTCGGTCGGCCACACTGCTTTTCATGCTGAGCCCAGAGGCAGCCTCACGATCGGTGTTGTCCCAGTGCTGTCCCAGAAAGTCACTACCGGTTAGTCCAACATGACATGACATAAAATCTATTTTTAAATCTCTGGTGTAAGGATTTCGTTCACAAGATAAAAATTATGTGCAAAACCACACAAGTTAGAAGCCAGTTTTGCGGCGGTCATCGTTCACGCCGTGGGAGGGGAGCAGTAGCAGTGCTGGCTGGCGAGAAACCCTTGCTGAGCTGGTATAGGGGTTCAGAGCTTATTCTCTTTTCAAAAGTTTGACTTGACACTTCATCTCTATTCTTTCCTTTTGTCCAAAGATTCTGCTCTGTTTGCTGAACTTGGCTATTTCACAGACACCGATGACCTGCATTTGGATGCAGCACATGAAACTTACGTAAGTACTAGAGGAGAAATACTGAGTAATGTGATATTTCATTTTTACGCTAATTATTGCAAGAAGGTTTTGGGAATAACGGGTTTCGGCTAGTTATTTTTGAATAACTTAGCGTTAAGTAGGAAAGTTAGTGGCCATTTTGTAGTCAGTAAATTTAGGGTTGTGGAAGTTGCATTGGTCTCGGTGCGGGAAGACTTGTGTTTGAGTCCACCTTTGTCTCGGGGTGCTGACTGGAAGGGCGACTTAACTGCCTGCTTCTTGGCTTTTAAGACAACTTTGCTGCATACGGGGGACGGTGTGTTGAGGGGTTTGTTGTGTGAGTCGCAGACCCAGCCGGAGTAGAACCGACCAACTTCCTTTGTAGAAGCTTCGTGTCCTTAGGGTGGAGTGCCTGAGACTCAGAAACTTACTCTTTGCCTTCCATTGGTTGGAGTCTGCGTAGAATGTCTTCTGGTACTTCGGGTCCTCGAGAACATCTTCGCTTTCTCTTTCCTTTTCCGATTGGTGCACACTCTCCGTACATGGCATGCCGGCCTGTGGAGCTCTTGTTTGGACGAGGCGCTGTTGCAGTTGGGAAGCAGTGCAGGTGAACAGTGTGATTTTCATCTGCACATCAGTCACATCAGATGTTCACCACTTGTTTTTTATGCTCTTCTTAACCTGAGTATAAAAATAGGTATTGCTTGCTCAGAGAGTTTCTCAGACATTTCTTAAAGAACCATTTAGCAGGTTTTTTTTTTTTTTACAATGAATCAATAGAAGAGAATAAAAACATATTTTTAAAGCGCTGCATGGGATTTTAGTTGCTTTTAATTCTTTTTGAGATAGTTTAGAATGTGGTCTGTTGATTAAATTGACTTTTAATATTGTCTGGTTGCCTAAGCAACTGATATTCTTTTACAACCTCTACAGCCTAAACCCCTCAGGAAACAGTGGGTTAGGTTTGAAAGATTCAGGGAAATGTGGTCCTGATTTTATAACGAACATTCTGACCTTACCCACGTCAGCCCTCCCACCCCTTAGTCTTTCCGGTGTACAGTGGAGGGTTGCAGCAGGTGGGCTCCGAGGGCCCCTTCTAAAGTCAGTGTCTCTCTTCCGCACGGTAGTTGGGTTTCCCAGCAGATGTCATTGAAGAGCCAACATATGTAAATACCGACATATTTTACTTGATGTAAACGGACCTGTTAAATTTCCAGCCGCGCTGTAAAACCTTACGCTGTAAAAGGTATTTGACTTTTTGGCCGAAGACTGAGTGAGAGTCCTAAGTACGTCATGCCCTACATCGTACAAGGTAAAGCGTGTCGCTGGCCCCAGGCAGGCCTCGCTGCTCGATTTACTTCGGCTGCGGGAGTTAGGGATCCGTTCGGTTGCCGAAAGTGCAGGGCTGCTTAAGTTTTTGATGTGTGGATTCAAATAAGAGAAAAAAAGCAAAGGAGATTGGTTTACAAAGTGCTTCTTTTCGTGATCTTTTCTTCACGTGCACTCCCAGTTTCCTCTGACCTGTGCTGGTTTTGCTCAGTGAAGGGCAGCGTGACGAGAAAGCAGTTTCCCTACTTCCTTCTGTTCCGTTCTCAGTGGAAATAAACCGCACGATGGGTGTTTCAAATCGATGTTATTCTAGAAAGTATTACCAAGCGGTTGTTAATAAGTAATAGATTAATCTTTACTCTTTGCCTGGGTCTTACTTCCCCTGTTGTTGCTGCTTCATCGTCTGTCACGTTAAGTTAGTGTTGGCCGCCTTTGGACTTGGTCATACTGTTTATAGCACGTTGACTTCTGTTCCTGTCTCTCTAAGCCCAGACGCTTAGAAGAGGGTCTCCAGCTCACACGCGGGCTCTGGACTCATGATGGGGGGGGTATTCGTGCGTGCGCGCGCGTGTGTGTGTGTGTGTGTGTGTGTGTCATAAGACGGTCACCCAGATGGCTCGGAATGTGCTTCTGAGTAAAAACTGTCATCTTAGTGCAAAGAAGCGAAGAGTTCCTCTAAAAGGCTTGTTGACCCCGTTTGAGAAACTTAATTTTATCTTGTAGGATTAAAAAAAATTTAGGAATTTTATTTTAGAAATTTCAGAAGTATAGGACAGTAAAAAAAAAAGATGAAAATGACCATCTTCCTCTGAGTCTCTTGTAGGGAGCTAAAGCTCCCCAAATTCAAAAGAGTGCATGGATTATCTCGGGAGGCCTGCTTGCATAAAAAGGGAAAGGCTGGTTCTGTGGAATTCCAGGAAGAAGAAGATTAAGTATAGACAAAAGGAGTGTCGAAGGGAGTGTCAAAGGGAGTGTCGATTGTACCTCGATCTTCAGGATGTTACTTTTATTATGTTATTTTGGGATACACAAAGGAACAGATTATGTATAAAGAGAAGCATAAGAAATAAACTCGGAGAGACAGTTGTGAGATCTGCTCTCCCTCCTGCACCCTGTCTGTCTTCTCTTTTTTCTCAGTCCCCGCCCCCCCCATTCAGGTACCCGGTTTGACTTGGTCGGCTGGTTTCCGACAGTCTCTTCCTTCCAGTGTAACGTTGGGTACGTTTGAAGGTTTGGTTAAAATCTGCGATTCCTGCGTGTCTTTGCAAAACCCTGTGTTCTTTCTGTTGTCTGCGGATGTGATGTGGTGAACAGGCATTTGATTCAACTTGTTTGCCTTAATGGCAGTGCGAGAATTTACTGGATTTCCCTTGTGACAAAAGATGTGTTTTTGTGACTTTCGTAATGGCTCATGCCCACTGAAAAGAATGAGACCAAAGGAGCCGTGTCGCTGCGAACCCCTCACCTCCTGAGTAACTGCTGTGCTTCAGGTAGCTGTGTCGGTTCACCCCGAGGCCCTCCGAGAGGTGTCTGCGTGAACCGATGGAGTTGGACCATTATTTGTCCTGCGTTGGGTAACAGTAATTATTTATGGCAGATCGAGTCTGACAGTTTGATAGTTTGATTTCTGGATGTATATATTCTAATATTCTTTTGCTGATTTGAAACCTACAGGAAAATAACTTCGATAATCTTGATTTTGATTTGGATTTGATGCCTTGGGAGGCAGGCATTTGGGACGTCGACAACCAGCTCTGTACAGGTAATGATGTTTTTCATTGGTAAGAACTTTAAAATGACTCATTTTATTTTGTAGTTCGGTAATAGTCAAAATTAGGTGGAGTTATTGGGCTGCTTTGATGGGTTAAAAAATTCCAGGGACTGCATAGGCTACTCTGGCATGGCCATGAGTACACAAGTTCCCCGCCATGGCGGACTCAAAGAATTTCAGACTTGTGTTTCAGTCACATAAAGAGTTTGTATCAGAAATATTATTTTTGAATTATGTATCATACCTCCATAAGAGGGTATCCTGAAATCCAGACAGAATGTAGGGAATTAAAGGGGAGAAGCTTGGGGTTACCAGATCGGGGCCTGTGCATGTGGTGTGCGTGCTCTGAAGAGGTGGGTTCGGGTGTGCTGAACGAAGCTGGAACCTGCAGCAGACATCGCTTCGGGGGCGAAGCTGATGGGGAGGTGGAGAGGCCCGTTCCCCTTCCCCTGTCTTCAGCACCCTCCTGCCGTCCCCGTCGGCAGGCCGCAGCGGAGGCCCGCGGCGGGGCCTGTGTTCGTTTGCGCCTCTGACTGCAGGAGGCGGACGCGGAGCCGAGGCGGTGGGGGAGCCGCCGGCACGTCCCTGCCAAGCTGCAGCCGTCCGCACCCCACACTCCTGTCCCCTTCATGTTTGGTGTGCACAGGTCCTGCCGGATGCTCTCTTCCCACATAGAGTGTGGGCTGCGCAAGGCCAGTGCTCAGCTCACTACTGCTGTGTAATGAACGACCCTAAAACTTTGTGGCTTGAAGCAGCCACCATTGTATTATGCTCCCCGAAGCTGTGGGTCAGGAATTTGGACAGGGTGTACCGGGAAGGGCTCGTCCATGCTCCGTGATGTCTAGACGTCCACTAGGGAAGTCTGAAGGCTGTGGTAGCGTGACATCTTAAGGGTTCTTCACTGCCGTGTCTGGTGCTTGGGCTGACTTGGCCCTGAGGACTGCCCACGGGGGTGCCTCCACATGGCCTTTCTGTGTGGCTCGGCCTCCTCCGTGTGGCACCCTAGGGCGGTCTGACTGCAGAGGCCCCAGCGCGCGAGGATGCACGTCACGTCACTGCCGTCCTCGAGTTTACTGAAGGGCACAAGCCCGCCGGGACTCAGGCGGACGGGAGTAGACGCCCCTGCTGGACGGGGAGGTGGCAGGAGCACATTCTGGATCATGAGGGACCATGGGACGTTTTGCAGCCAGCTTTGGAAAAGACAGTCTGCCTGCCACAGGGTCACTCCCCCCCTAGGGGCTCAAAACATTATTATAAATAAGTTAATAGGTCCAAAGAGAGGAACGTTTTTGTGAGTTTTAATTGTATTGCCACAAACGCTTCCCTAAAAAAATTCTTTCCTGTTTCTTATATTTTTAAAAACTTGTTCTTTGGGAATCCATGCTTTTTTGCATATGGTACAATATTCACAAGGTCCGAAAGGTCTGTAGAGTGGAAACGTGCCGCCCCCTGCTCTTGCTCCTCAGGGAGAGGGGGTGTGCCCGAGGCACCCCGTGGCCGGTTTCTCACGGCCGCCCTCCGGAGCGGGGGGCCGGGGGAGGCGCACGGCTTCGCACGCGCACGTCATCGCCCCCGGCGACGCTGCTTTCTGCACCTTGACCGTAGCTGCCACACGACTGGATCGTGAGCGCAGGCTTTGCCTTCGTTCTTGCTCCACCCTGAGTTTGTGCTGTCCGGTGGGAACAGCTGTGCTCTGTGTTTTCCAGTTAAAGATATTAAGGCGGAACCTCAGCCACTGTCCCCAGCCTCCTCCAGTTGTTCAGTCTCGTCGCCGCAGTCAGCGGACTCGTGTTCTTCAACCCAGCATGTTCCCGTAAGTAGCCAGCCTTTCACGGTGGCTGTGGTCACGAAGCCCTCTGGACAGGGCGAGCATGGGGGCGCGGTTGGCATCCGCTGCGTGTGCTGTCACCGAATCTCGAGTCTCGAGGAAAGGCGCCGGGCTCCGTCTTGCCCTCCTTGCTGTCTTTGTGCCATCCGTGTCGTTGGTCACTTGTCTCATCGCCCTTCACCAGTCCCCAGGGTTTTTTGTCTGTTGGCTTACTGTCTTTCGCCCCAGCCACCCACTCTCCTCCCTGTAGAATGTGTATTCTTTGAGGACACGGAGACCGAGTGGTCACGACTCCTTCGGTGTCGAACCCGGGGTGGTCTCCCTCGCTCAGCGGGGCCCAGAACTGCCTTTTGAATGGCTAAGACTTTTACAGAGGTCTGGTGGCTTCTTAGAAATGATTCTCTTCTTCATCCAGATAGACGCTCTGAGTCCTGGAAAAGGGAGTACTCAAGGATTTAGGTATTTTTTGGAACGAGGCGAGGGAAAATAGAGCAATTCAGATTAGTATTTGCGTGCGCTGCATCCGTCAGGCTCTGCCTCGGCCGTCATGCGGTCCCAAGCTGTCCTCTCCTGTTGTCTCCAGGAGCCACCTTTGCCGCCCCTGCCAGGCCATTGTCAATCTCTCCTGGAGTCAGTCCGTGGGACTCTCGCTGGTCTCCCTGCCTCCCCGCTCCCCAAGCCCTGTTAGAGGAATTTTCAAAGAGGAATCTTTCAGAATCGTGGATTTGCTAAAAACCCACGCGTGACTTCCCGACCCCTCCAGGGGGGCGAGCCATGTCCTGGGTGCCGGGTCCTCCGTGACCCGTGTCCTGCTTCCCTTTCCAGTCTTGTGCCTTCGTTTCCTCCACCTTCGGTCACACTGCCCTTCGCGTCAGCGTGCGGGAGACCCTGCCAGAGCGCCCGCTCAGCACTGAGCCCCCGTGCGAGGTTGCACACGCGTGCATTTCCACCAGCAGTGTGCAAGGGGGTTTCCCATCATCACTACACAGCATACTTTCTGCTGCTTTTCTTAGGAGTCACACGCGTGCATTTCCACCAGCAGTGTGCAAGGGGGCTGGTTTCCCATCGTCACTACACAGCATATTTTCTGCTGCTTTTCTTAGGAGTGTGATTGGGCATCTTTTCATAAATCTCAAATGTACAAAGCATTTTGCATTTTTTTAATGAACTGACCATTCAGATTTTTGTCCAACTTTTCAGTAATTGTACTGGTCATTTTCACCTCAATTTTTAAAACATTTTATTACATATTAGGATTATTAGTCCTTAGTTGGTGAAATAAGTTAAAAGTATTTTTTCCTCTATGTGTCTTTAAGCTTTATTTTTTTTTTATAGCCGAATATCGATCTTTTACTGCTTTTTCTTTGGTCCTTCAAAGGAGGGTTTTCACCACTCAGAGGTTATGTTTTTATTCTTGTTTTCTTGCTTACATTAATTTTTTGTTTGGAATAGTCTCAAACTTACGGAAATGTTATAAGTACATTGCAAGGAACTTTTCTTCCCTGAACGTTTGTGAGAGGTCGCCAGCCTGACTCCCTGTCGCCCCCAAGTACTTTAACGTCTCCTTCCTACAAACAGGATGTGTCTTATATAACCACGATGTAGCTTCCGAAATCAGGAAATAAACACTGACACATCACCGTCATCTAATCGTCCATTCCCATTTAGATTGTGCACATTGTCCCAAAGATGTTCTCTAGTCCAGCAGAACGATGTAGAGTCACACATTGTGTGTGCTTGTTTTGTCCCTCTATCTCCTGCAGTTGAATCAGTTCATTCTTCCTTGCCTTCTGTGACCTCGTCAGTTTTGGAGGTTAGAGACTAGCCATTTTGCAGAATGTCCCTCGATTGGGTTTGCCCGATGCTTCCGCAGGAGCAGAGTCAGGTTTTCTGTCTGTGGCAGGGGATCACGGAGGCGACGCCGTCTGTCTGGCTTTTGCCGAGGTGCCACACCATTTCCACGTGTCCTGTCACTGACGGCACGGCGTTCATTCTGTCCTACGACCGCAGCCCTGTCTGCCAAGCTCTCCCACCTGAGGCTGCCCTTTCTCCCTTTGCCATAATAAGTATTTCGTGGGCGGGTACCTTAAAACTATGTAAAAGCGTCTTGTTTCTCATCAAACTTTATTTGTTTTTATCACTTTGGACTCACGGTCCGATTTTATGACAGGTAATTATCACTAATTCTGTATCTTTTAACTTAATGCTCTATTTTTTACCATAAAATATTTTAATTATTGTTCAAATTTGTTTTTTATATTTTCTGGGGTTTTTGACTGAAAGGGGGCCTGTGTCATGCAGAGAGTGAACAAGTATCCTCTTAAATTTTCTTTTAATAATCTTGTAGATTATTTCAAAGAGGATATGATGTAGATATTTTGCCTATTTCATTATTATATATAGCATTATTTTCTCTCAGAAAAGAAATGCCACTTTTACGTTAACTTTCTTGATTCTAACAAAATGAGACATCCACTGACTATTAAAATATTTATGGAAAATGTTAATATTACCTTTATACATCTCTATTATCAATTCACTCATTAAATAAAAGGAAAGAGCCCTGCTCCTTTTGGTGTCTGTCTTTTGAAAACATTTGGGCGGTGTTAGTAAATAGAAAGGGATAGAAATAGTGAGAATTATTTGCTTTTGAGACTGAACAAGAGATTGTGGGGAAAGGATATTGGCATTTTACCTTTAGCCTTTTACTGTACTAAATGTTTGTGCAACTAGGAGCCAAGTAAAATGTGAAGTTTGCAGAGGAAACGCAGAAGCAGATAGTACTTCGCATACACCTGCCTTGCGAGTTGTTCTTCCTCAGTGGTGACAGACAGGTCGCGACTATTATCGCGGTGTCTTAGTACTTACTATCCAGCGTTCCCAGTACACGCCACCTTGGCCCGAGGGTGTCTGGGAGTGTTTCTCTGTTTACGCGTGGACCTTGCCTCTCTTTCTAAGTGGTTTTTTGCTCAAGGGTCGTATTCCTCTGCTGAATTTGTGTTATTTTGCTGCAGGAGGAGTTGGATTTGTCTTCTGCCCCCCAGATGTCCCCCCTTTCCTTATACGGCGAGAGCTCTAACGGGCCCTCCTCAACAGAGCCAGCCAAGGAAAGCAAGCCTGTCACTGGTCCCAGGAGCAAAACCGGTATGACTCCATCTCCTAACTGCTGTCACTTCTGATTTAGACTGAGCTTCGGTTCCTCCTTCAAAGGAAATATCGGATTAAGTATACGTTAGTAAGCTGGCCTTTTGTTTTCAGATTAGTGGACCTAGTTGGTTTGTTATGGATGACCAGTGTGGAGAGAAGGACACTTGACATTGGACCTAGGCCCCGTCATCTTCGGGGTGGAAGGCAACATGTCAGTTCAAGATACTGAATGTGAGGGCCATTTGGCTGTCGCATTTGTTAGCTCACTGATCTCCAGGCTTTAACCGGTGGGTTTAGCGGTCCTCCTCTACTGGTTCTTGTCCCTCCTCCCCAAGCCGCAGCTCGGCCCAAATGGGGGACCTCATTCCAGCTGTCAGAGAGGTAAGTCCTGGGGACGTCCCGTGCAGCACGGTGACGGCAGTTGGTGCCGTCTTGCTTTAATAATACTTATGGTTAAAAACAATGTTTGACAGTAGCTAAGAGTAGACTTTGAAAGTTCTCATCACAAGAGAAAGTAATTTTGTAACTGTGGATGTTGACAGATGTTAACTAATCGTGGTGATCGTTTTGTGATGCCAACATCAAATAGTTACCTCGTATACCTGAAACGAATATAACGTTACGTATCATTTATGCCTCCATGAAAGAAAAGGACTTTTCTTCAGCCCCTTGAGGTACAGAGTAGCTGTGCTTAACTCCAGTGAAGGGCGGTTGCTCAGAGGTCAGGATAACCTTAAGAGAACCTACTTCAGAGGTCCAGGTGTGGAGAAGGTGCATCATAGAGTCTGTGTTTTAAGATTTAATTGCCTTCAGGTTGATTTGTGGTTTGTTCGTTTGTTTGTTTGTTTTCCAGAAAATGGACTGACTCTGAAGAAAAAACTTCAGATGAATTCAAAACCTTCAATTCAGCCCAAGCCTTTATTGCTTCCAGCAGCGCCCAAGACTCAAACCAGTGCCAGCGTTCCTGCGAAAGCCATCATCATTCAGGCACTGCCAACTCTCGTGCCGCTGGCAAAGCAGCACCCCATCACCAGCATACACCCCGCACCTGCCAGAGGTACCGGAGTGGCTTTCAGGCTGCGTGTGTGTATTTGGGCCACTAAGGCTTATGCCCTATGATTGTTTCAATTCAGGTTATCGGCTTCGAGTCCTTACTGTCATCAGGGGTTGTCCTTGGTGTAGGGTGATGCAGAGATGCTAACGTGTGGTCCCTGTCCCAACAAGAGAGCTGGCCACCCAGATCCTCTTCTTCCAGTTTTAACTGTGGGCACACCTGTCTGCAAGGCACGTGGTTTTACACAGCCACTTGTAACGAAGGAGAAAATCTGGGAATCTTCTTTGGTGCCATTTTATTCTGAGATTTTTGTGCGTTTGAACTATTTTGCTTTTAAGGACAGGTCAGTATTTAACATGGTTTGTTTCAGGTCTAGTAGGTAGGTGTGTTTTGGCCGTGAAATCAGGCCGTTAACCTCGGAGGAGGCAGCACGGTTCAGTAAACAGTCTGGAATAGCTGTGAGGCGGGGCCGCGAACTCTGCTGCTCGTGTAGAACATGCGTGTTTCCACGTTTTGTCCACCAGATGGCCTCACATTCTTGATTCTACTAGAAGTCGAGGCCAGTATTGAAAGTAGTTCAAGGTTGAGGATTTGGTACTGTTCGGATTTAGGACTTGGAGGTCGTCCGGCAGATTACTCATCACCGTGCTTGGACTGACACGTGTCCACACGGGTAAGGGAAAACGCGTGCGGCCTCTTTCCCGGGGGTTGAGCTCGCTGGCCGAGTAGGACTCTGTTGGTGGGTAGGCCGTAAACAAACACCCATGTCGCGTTTGCTTTCGTGGCTGTGTTTCCAGCCATGGCCTGTTAGCTCATTTCTTTGGATCAGTGTATACAGCAAGGGTGCCGCCGAGGGTTTGCTCCTAGCAGACCGCGGGGGGTCTCAGCGTTGGGGGGGTCTCAGCGTTAGGGGGTCTTGCTGTAGCAGGAGGACAGACTGCTCTTTTCTGAGCGGGGCATCCGTTTCAGAAACCTGAGTCACACTCTGCTGGGAACGTCACTGCTTTCCCAGGGTCTGCGGGGCGGGGGGGGGCACTTATTGTGGGCGGCACGTGCTCATAAGGCACTTGTCGGTTCTTCTGGTACCATCTGGAGACATGGTATTATCATAACGTACAGTTTGAGTGAGACTCGGGAGAGAGGAAGAAGGAAAATACAGGAGAGGCTTCTTCCCGTTAATCGATGTAGGTTTCAGTGGTAACATTTTACCAGTAGAGAACAGGAAGTCATTCTTGGAGGACAGTATCGATGTCTCTGTTCTGGAATGTGAGGCCCGCCATGGATGAGTCCAGTTTAGTTTTCTGCCTTGACGGTGTCGCCCCGTCTGTAAACCCCCCTTGTGGCCCAGCTTGTCTGGCCGCTGTCCCTGATTCTCTTGTCGTTCCTGGTTTCTTGGCTCATACTCTCCTCTGCCTGGAACAGCTTCCGCCTGTTTCCACACCTCAGTCCTGCACACCCGCCGGGACCGACCTGGGCGTGCAGGGGCGGGGGTGTGACAGCCCGAGGGTTGCGGAAGCGGGTGGCGGGTAGGGACAGGCGGTGCTGGGGCATGGGTGTGCCGTGGGGGGTGGGGGCAGAGGGTGGGGTCCTGTCACGAGCCTTTTGGGGAGAAGATAGAGCAGATCACTGAATGGAGGATAGAGGTGCAGTGACTTGCCCACGTCCTTCCGCTGGTGACAGGCGGAGTCAGGACTGAGCCCAGGCGGTCCGGCTCAGTCGGTGTGCCAGTCACGGTGCTGTACTGCCTCTAAATGAGGCTGGGACAAGGTCCTGATCTCAGGCTTTCTGTCCCATCGTGGAGTTAGCAGCTCCGTAGCGGGAACTGCGAGGGCTAATGACTCAGTCGTCCATGCAGCGCCCTATGGCAGCTGTCACCCAAAGGGTAATGATGTGCTGAATAATAGCTGGCTGACGTTTAAGGTTCAGCTTTGTACCAGACACTGCTCTGAGGACCGAAGTGTGTTTTCTTGACCCTTACGTCTCCTCCGTGAGGTGGGGTGCTGTTATTAACTCCATTTACAGATGAGAAAATTGAGACAGAGAAACCACGCAGCAGAGTCACGCGCCAGAGTGCGAGGCGTTCAGTAAATGTCCCATACCTGGTTCAAAACCTTTGGGGATAGTTGGAAGGAAGAACGGTCACAATAGTGAGTCCTGCTTAGTCAGCGACATGCAATGTGCTGTCGTCTAGCCATGACCAGTCGAGGGGACTTCGTGTAACGGCAGGGAGGACCCGGGGCGGGCAGGTGCCTTTGGGCGACCTAGCCCTTCCCACGTTGGGGGCGGCAGTGACCTCAGGGCCCAGAGGGTGCTCTGCGGTCAGGGCCCAGAAGCCACTGTGAGAGCTTTCAGTCTTTTCTTGAACACGGTAATTGAAATTTTGTCGTTTCTCCCCATTCTGCCTTGAGCCAGACGGGTCCTGATTTAGGTGCTGGGTTGTCTGAGGGCAGCTGGGCACTCTGCGGAGTGGGCGCGCTGTGCCCTGGGAGGGCAGGGGGCAGCAGGACCCCAGCCATACTGGCCTCTGACTGGCCAGGGGCAGCCGCTTGCCTCCCAGGGGGCAGTTCTCTGCAACGGGGTAGCGATGGCCCCACAGCAGGCGGTGCTCACTTGGCTTATTTTTCCTAGTTAGTGTTAAGAAATATGACAAACCCCCTGCCTGGTCACCTGCCAATGCTGTGAGCCTGTGACTAGGGCTAGAAGGAGGACCCTGTCTTTGAAATGCCTTAATTCATGTTTACCATGTCCTGCACTCTGTGGAATAGTCCCAAATTCGTTGAACAGTGTTTAGGTTTTTGGAGTCTTTCTGTGGTAATTTTTTAAGCTGGGAATGTGTGGAACACTGCTTCTGATAATGGTCTTCTGAAAGTATCAGTTTCAGTCAGTGGTTCTCAACCGTGGACTTGACCCTGGGGTATGGGTGGTGGGAACAGTAGCCAAGGGTCTGTGTGCCGGTGTTCGTGGCAGCATTTGCTGTGGACTGAATCACTAATTGTGTCATGTGTCTCTGTGTTGTTTTTCAGATGTTGTAGCTACACTTCTGATTAATAAACTGCAATTTCATTGTAAATCGTTACTGAATTCTTAATGGCCTCTTCTCTTCATGTACCTTCTCAGTCCAAAAACGAAAGGATAGCCATGGTCACCTTGGGTGACGTGGTGTCTGATGGACGGAGCAGCACTGGCATTTAGGGCAGGGCCCTTGGTTTACGTTTCGGGTTGTGATGAGTCTCTTTCTCCGGAGTTACCAGATTGACTGTGATTTCTGAGTAATTAAAAACCCTGACACTTGGTCATATGCTATTTATTTTACTTGTTAATTATTTTGACTTGCGTATTGCCCTAAGCATATTTATATCAGCTTATGAGTCATTTCCTCATTTATGTTTCTATTTCATGAAAAGTTATTTTAAGGGAAAATGAGAAGATAAAATATTTAGTGACCATTTACACGTTTACACCCAAGTGAATTGCACATATTGCAAATTTATGAAATTATTTTTAGATCTTTCTTAGTAATTTATCTGGGACAAAATGCTATTAAATTCTACTTTTAGTATGCTTTTTGAGGCCGTCAAAAATATATGTTGATTTTATAGAAGTGATTTTTTGAAGCTAAAACAGATGTTCTTAATAACTATTCTGAAACATTTTTTTTTTTAGTTTTCCTTGATCCTTTGAAATACAGAGCTGAGTTTTACGTGGGTCACATTATCCTGTCTGAAAGTATAATAATTTTTTTTCTTAAAGACAAATTATAAATATATATGAAATTTTAGTTTCTGTTACTGCAATACTTTCAGTTTGCTAGATAGGCTCCAGCCCCTGTGGCTGTTAGGTGAGGCTCTCAGCACCTTACAGAGTTGGCCAGATCTGAAGGGAGATGTGTAGCAGGCAAGTAACGTTTTTAATAGACCAGCGTTAGGAGTTAAACGAGTCTTCTGTAGGTTATCGATACTGATTCTCATCAGATTATTATAATTTAAACCATGGTAAGTGTGAAGATTAAGATTTGTAGGCCATTTTTGCAGGGAAGGGAGTTGGTGTTATCTGCAGATTAATTTATATCACAGGTTTGTTTCTTGTGCTTGTTAGCTGGGAATTCATCTCAAGTGGTTTTTAACATTTTTGATATTTGTAGCCTCTTGTTCACTCGTTGAGTTAATGAATCTCTGTTCATATATTTTTTGGTATTGTACGTATTTCTAAATTCCATTAATTTGAAATATACGAATTCATTATTAAACGTTGGCTATTTATAATATGAAAAATCCTTTTATCCCTAATAAATTTCAGAAATTAATACTTAGAGAAATCAACTTAATGCTTTGCGAATTTAGTATGCGAATAAATGAGGAAAAATATGTGGAAATACACTGTTAACGATAACTTCAAAGGGAATGAATTTAGTTGGTTTCATTGAAAACACAGCGAAGCCATCGTGCATGCGCTGCTGCCGAGTGTGTTTTAATTGGCGGTTCGGAACCGTCAGTGCGATCTCACTCTTCCTGTGTCTGCAGGGGCGACCTAAGCGGCGACCGCTTTCGCCGCCTCAGTGGCCGAGCCCTCTGACCCCTCTTCTCTGTCTCCACTGCAGGTCCGACCGTGCTGCTGTCTCAGCCCGCCGTGGTCCAGCTCCAGGCCCCGGGGATGCTGCCCTGTCCGCAGCCAGTGCTTGCTGTGGCGGCGGGACAGCTCCCTAATCACACGGTGAATGTGGTCCCGGCCCCTGCGGCCAGCAGCGCGGTGACTGGGAAGCTGGCTGTGACTAAACCTGCCCTGCAGAATGCCGTGAGGAGCGTGGGTTCAGATGTGAGTTTTGACACTTACTTAGTGTTTCTTAATGCCCGATTTAAAAAAGGAAAACAGAAACAAGAACAACAGACTTTTGTTTTTGTTGCTTTGTTTTCGTTTTTGAAAGTTTGTTGCTAGCGTGTCAAAGTGCTGACATGGCATACCGGACCTTGGGTGGAAAACGAGGGTAGGGTTTGCTGTGTCAGGGTCCCGGTGGCTGAGGTGTGCGGCGTCCGCAGGGGTCCGACGGGAAGGGCACCCGTCTGGTCCTCACCCCGCCCCCTGCCACGCCGCCTGCGGGGTTCTTTGCTGTTTCCTGACCCAGATGTTTCGGGCAGCCCCTCAGCGGGAGTGTGCACACTGCTTTTTAGTCCGCGTTTATGTGTAGCATCTCTGGGTTTACCGAAGTGTTTTCACCGCTGCATAATGACTCGCTACTCTTGGGAATTCTGTCTCTTCGTGATTATTTGGCACGTTCCCATCTCTGCATACCTTCAAGTTTTCTAGCACATTGTGGGGTTTTTTTTTAAAATAATTTGTAAATCACAGAAAATTTCATAAGATTTACCACCCCCTAAAACCGGTTATAATGCTTGCCAGCTAGTTAGTTCTTGCTTTCTTTAAAAGTGATATGAGATACCTCATGTTGTGTTTTAAACAGTAATTGGACATCATGGGCCTAAAGTTTAATGAAAGTCAAATGATCACTCTAACAGTGGATTCTCTAAAATTGTGATTAGGAAAGCAAACCCTCTGATTTCTTTAAAACGGCCCGATTTAAAAAAGGAAAACAGAAACAAGAACAAAACACAAGAAACAAGAAACAAGAACGAATTGTGATTGGGAAAGCAAACCCTCTGATTTCTTTAAAACATAAGTTGACGTTACTGGTTGTTAATGCCGCCACTCTACCTTCCTTCGGTGTAAAAAAGTACTTTTAAAAAATCCTGTGATCCATTCATGGTGGTTTATCAGACGAATGACTGGCCTATCGCAGTTTATTAGCTGCATGTCAGTAGCCCACGCAGTTGGCGGAACTGCCCGCTGCTGCGTGAGCTCAGCGAAGCGGCCTTCGGCAGCAGGGTTGAGAAGGCCTGTTATCCGGCAGGAGCAGAGCAGCCTCGCTGCACAGTTCTGTCGTCTCTGCAGATAACGGGAGCGGCCTGCGCCAGGACGGGGAGGGGCGTGCGTGTCGTGGGGGGGCGGACACGGATGGTGCGGGGTCAGGCTTGGCCGCGGTGTTAGTTTCTTTCGAGGACTGGAAGCGGCAGGCACGGGGCGTGCGGTGCATAGGCAGAAATACTCAGTGTGTTTCAGTTCAAGACGAAACGATGCGACGCTGGGATTTGCTCTAAAGCGCTGTCGGGAGGTGATTGGCGCCAGCCAGGGAACAAGCCGCAGAACGTCGCCAGTCATTCGAACTGGCTGCGTCACCTCTCTCTCTTCTCGGTGTTTGGGATAATTTCCGTAGTAAGTAAATGAACGACAGTAACAAAAATCTAAAAATATTCTGTGATAATTTTAATTAAAAAGTTGTACAACCAATAAAAAAAAGCGTATGTTTTTTCACAGGAAACAGAAGTTAAGAGAGTTTAAGAATGATAGAAGAGGATTTTAAAAAAAGATGCCTTAAAATTTCCTTTTAGTACTCTTTAAATTATGAATTTGAGTGTTTCTCCTGCAATACTCCCAAATAGAACAAGCGATGAGAAACATTCAAAGTTGTTGTTACATAACGTGTTAGGACATTTAAAATATTTATCATGAAATTTAGACTTGAAAAAAAGTAATGAGTAATCAGAACTTTTCAAAACTAAGCGACAGTCTATCACAGCTGTCGAGAAGTAGTAACATCGTCTTAGTGCACTCACAAAATTGTAGCGTCTGATCGTGGGACAGTCCGGAGGAACTTAGCTGGGCGGGGCGTTCGTCTGGAAGCCTGGCCCAGGTAGAGGAGTGGTCTCGGTAGACTGAGGAAGAGAAGGCTGCGGGTGGCGCCATCTTCTAGGGCCGGGGGGTTGTCGTGTGGAAAACAGGACAGTGGCTCTGGGCGATTCCAGAGGACTGGTCTAGAACAGGGGCGGGCCCCTTCCAGTCCTGTGTCTGCCACACGGTCATTGTATTTAAAAACCAGAGGAGGCCTCTGTTTCATCGCATGTGCCGTCCACCTGTTTCGTAATCTCTGAACATTTCGATGGATTCTTCGTCCACTAGCCTGGCGCCCTTTCTAAGTTCTCGGAGTGAAAGGCCACGCCTGTTCCGCTCTTGAGCGCGTGAGAGTATCGTGAGCTTGGTGAGTAACTCGCCGATGGGGCCTCAGTCAGCACTGAGGACCTGAGGGGCGTGTGGGACGAAGCGCACAACCAGCAAGTCTTGTGTTTTTCTTAAGGCAGTGTTCACCGGCTGTCGTACTAGTTTCCAGCCCTTAGGCTTGACAGTATGGCCAGAGAAAGGTGGGAGGCCTGTGTGTCCGGGGCAGGCGACCTAAAGACACCCCGAGTGTATCTTCCAGTCGGCCCGCACCGAGGTTTCTGGGCCAGCGCGTCAGGGAGCGAGCCAGGCCTTCTCAGTGGGAGTTTCTGGTAGAGGTTTTGCCTTAATGTGTATTTCAAGTAAAGGCCCAGCAGTCTGTCCTATCAGCTGGCCAGGCGACTCAGGAAGCCATAGTCGGTCTGTTCCAGAAGCAGCTGCAGAAGGCTTTGATCTGCTCGGCGTCCCCTGTGCTGGCGCTGGGTCACCCTCAGTAGTCAGCATGTCTGTCAGACTCGAGTCCCGTTCAGTGGGACACGTTTGATTTAGTAGAAGTTTCTGATTCAAAATGGCCCAAAAGAAAAAAAAATTCATTGTGTTTTTTGTGCTTTTAAACAAAACGTGTGGTGAAAAGTTGTAATTTAGCCAAAAAAAAAAAAAAAGGAAAGGAAAAGTCGCGTCCGTCTCTCGTGGCTCGCGGTGCTGACCCGGCTGCTTTTGTCCTACCTTCCCTTCTGTCGCGTGGCGGGTCGCGCTCTCCGGAGGCCCGCTGCTGCCGTGAGTAGCGTTTTTAGCATGCCATCCCCTGCGAACTGCGTTAAGTGCCACGTGTTCTCCTGTGAAACAGTTTGCCTGGTTCACATCATAATCCCACGCTCCCTGCCTTTTGCTGTGAAATCTATTCTGTTGAAGTCTTGGAAACCTCACCCACGTTTTCAAGAAATCCGGTTTGTTTTTGGCCCCGATGCTGGTGGAAGAGACGAGCACCGTCTGTCGCTTCAGCGTTCAGTCCTCTCCTGCGCGCTCGGTGAGCGGCGGGCCTCTTGGAACTGCAGAGGCGCCGTCACGGCAGAGCACGCTGACCCGTCTTTAAGGGGAGGGCGCCTGTTGCCAGGCCTCAGGCCCAGGGCTGGCAGGCCGGCTGTCTGTCTGCAGGGCGCCACCTGCCCATCCCGACCTCACGAAGCTCACGAACCGCCACCGCCCTGCTTTCGCGGTCACGGAGTCATGTTGCTTTGGTTATTGGGTCAAGGTGGAGCAAAAACCCTTTATGGAAATCAGGTGGGGACAATGGCAAGATGACCAGGAGGTGGGTCAGAACTAGAATTGACCTCCCATGCGAGCCCGACTTGGGGGCGCAGGCCTGACCGACGGGGCCCCGGGGTCCCTCGCAGCCTGCCCACCCCGTGCAGCATCCTGTGAGTCTTCACTTAGTGACCTGACCCCTTCCACCTCAGTCCCCTACCCTTTGGGAGTCTGCGCTGGGTCACTAGAGCCACCATGGAAAGCTGGGTGCCGGGAGTCCGTTTCCACTGCAGGTGTTAGGCGTGGTGTGGCGGGGACTCCGCACTTCTCCTCCTGGAGTCAGTGCTGTGCCGGGGTGTGGAGGTGGCGGACATGTCCCAGCTGGTGAGGCGTGGTGTGGCGGGGACTCTGCACTTCTCCTCCTGGAGACAGTGCTGTGCCGGGGTGCGGAGGTGGCGGACGTGTCCCAGCTGGCGCTCTGCCTGCTCCTCTCCTGCCGCGGGCAGTGCTGAGCCTTGGGGACGATGCTTTGACGGGGCGCAGGAGCCGCGCTTGTCCACAGGGAGACGTCCCCTCCGCTCTCAGAGCTTCTCGCTGGGAGCACAGCCCTGGGCACGGGGGCCTGGGCCTTGAGTCCTCGGTGAGCCCGGGAAGGCCTGCAGTAGCACGACTTGCCGGAGACCCCCAGAGCGTATCTTTCAAGAAAAATGCGAGTCTAAATTCGTTTACAGGGCAAAGCAGTGCGAAGAATGGAGGGCGTCTCTTCCGCTTCAGAAACGAGGCCTGACCTCTGCGGGCACTGCAGCCGCTGGCTCATCGGAGAGACGCGGGCGTAGGTTCTCTGTTAGGTGGGTGCGAGTGTAAATCGTGTGTCTGGCCTAGACCGGAGGGAGAAGCAGCGAACAGTGCTTCTCAGCAGAGGCATCCATCAGAGCGAGTCCGACAGGAAGGGCCTGGCGACCTGAGGAGCCGTCCAGCTTTCAGGAAAAAATCGCTCTGGCTCCGCTGTTCGGCTTCCCTGCTACCCGGACTCTCTGCAGGTAAAAGAAAAACAGGTTTTGTTAAAATATTCACAGTTTCTGTATTTGGAGGTTTGAGGCTTCTAAAAATTTATCTTGAATAAAGATTTTGGCAAGTAGTTTCATTTGTGGTTACGGTAGCTTTGGAAGGGGAAGCGAACAGAAGATTTCTTTTTTCGTTTTTTTTTTTTTTTCCTGACGTATTACGTCAGGCTAGATTTACATTGTGGAAACTTTTGCATTCTTTATTCTGATTTTTTCAGCATCTTGATAAAGTTAAAAAGTAATTTTCTTTAAAGGGATGCTGGTTTATGTCTTAATAAATGACGAAGCACCCGGCTCTCTCTGGTTCCCTCCCCGAACCTGCCCCTGGGGACTGGCTCCAGGGACACAGCCTGCCACGCGCAGGTGCGCCCCGGCCGCTCGGCCCCTGCTCAGACGGCTCTCGTGTGTCAGTGCTGGCAGAGTTACCCGTTGCCCTGCTCTGCAGAAACGGCCACCTGCGGCACACCTGTCCTGCACCGCGCTTTCCTCAGGTGGCGTCTCTAAGTAGAGATCTTCCTGTATCAGTGCATAAAGTTTCCCTGATCTTTCACTTGCTGGGTGGCGGTCCGTTTCCTAGGACTCCAGAACCGTTTACGATTTCTGCAGTCTTTTCCTTGATAAACACGCCTCCACTGAATCACGTGGCACTTGCTTTGTTCACGTGCGTGTCTGTGGGAGATGCCTGGGCTGGGATTGGAGAGTCAGGAGTAGGTGGTGTTCACTTTGGTGGCCCTTACCCAGGGGCTCCCCCAAGGGGTACTTCTGGTTGGTTCTTCCTGTGCCGCGTGGGAGAGTGGCAGTCCCGGGCCTCGGAATGGGACCCGCGGACAGGTCTCAGTGTCCCGCAGGCACCGTCTTCCTCTCACCCGTCGCGTCGTGCGACTGTCGTACTTTGTGCGTGTGTTTGTCTGGGGGCGGGGCCCACAGCCTCCTACGTGGTCTTTTTCGTTGTCTTAATGGCTTCATTGAGATAAAATGCACATGCCATGGAGTCCGCCTTTTTAAAGTGCACGATTTGGGGTTTCTTAGTGCACTCACAGAATTACGCTGCCGTCACTGTAACTGAGTTCTAGGCTATTTCATTGCCTGGAAAGGAACTCCAGTCCCCTCAGCAGCCATTCCTCACCCCCTCCTCGAGCCGCTGGCCACCACCTGTCTGCCTTCTGTTTCTGTGCAACTGCCTGTTCTGGACAGTCCATGACCGTGGGATTATGGGCCAGGTGGCCTTTTGTGTATTCACCCAGCATAAGGGTTTTCAAGCTCCATTCATGTTGTAAACTGGATCAGCACCTCTTTCTTTTTATGGCCAAATAACATCCCATTGTTCGGATATGCCACATTTTAGATTTTCCATTCATTAGTTAATGGACATTGGGATGATTTCCTCTTTTTGGCCATTCTGAAAAATGCTGATTTGAACTTTCATGTATAAGTTTTCATAGTTTTTTTAAAAACCATTTTTAATATATAAAGAGTATTTACAAATCAGTGAGAAAAATGTGAGTTAACCCAGCAACCAAATGGATTAAATACTGTGTGAATAGATAATTCACAAAGGAGGGTGGCAGATTCTTCCAGTGACGGCATCAGTGGCTGTATATTCTGGAAGGGTTTGCTCTTTGAAAGGTTACTGCTGGACGAATGTGCGAAAGAATGTTACTGGCTAACAGAAGAGAACTTTTGATTGGTTAAAGCTGGTTAAGGGGTGGTGCTCACGGGTTGAGAGTGTTATTCATGGTTAGCAATTTCTGTGGCTCTTATCCCCCGACTGTGAGTTCTGAAGGAGAGTATCTTTGTGTCTTCTCATAGCTCCTGAGTGTCATGTGTGTACTACAGCCGTGCACGTGTGTGTGTTTAGTCTGAACATCATAAACTTTTTTTTGGCTAGGAAATGCAGAATAATTTAAATATTCTGTGATCAGATAGCTGAAGATAGCTTGCTGAGATGTAAAGTTGGAACTCTGGTTGGTGATTCCAGTGGGTTTCATTTATTTTTACCGTTTTTATCCTTTGTGTTTATTGGTACTTTTAAGTATTTATTTTCAGAACTATTACATTTTATCTTTTTCCTTGGGAAGAAATGATTATTTGGCCACAGGTGGTTTTCATTTTTCAATATGAAGTATGTGCACTGACAGCCTTTGAAACTTTAATGCTATATAACACATAGGTGCTTTCATTGTTTATAGAAATCCTTGATCCTTGTTTGCAATCTGTTAAATGGCGTGCCATCTGTGAGTCTCCCCAGATTCCATAGATTGATTGGCCTTTACAGTAAGGTTGCCTTTTATCTGAGTTTAGTGTAAACCCTTCCGCCTGGGAACCTTCTCTTTACGTGCTTGTTCAGGGCTCTGGGCGTGTCAGCACTCCAGCGTTAAGTGTGAATTCTGGGCACAGGCATTCTCCCCGCGAAGAAGGTCGTGAAGGATGGCGGTACAGGGCACAAGGTGGCACTGTCCACAGAATAGCTTGGCGTAGGTGAGCGACAGTCCCTCATGGCTTCGCCCTGCTGCACACGTCTGCCTGTGAGAGAGAGAGAGAGAGTGTGTATGTGTGTGTCATTATTAAAGAGTGAGCTAACTAGTTACTCCACAGGGAAACTTTATAGGTGATGGCTATTAAAAAAAAAAAAAAAAGATACAAAAAGGGAAAACAGCCTTTTCTGAGACCTCGTGAAATGTTTTTTTCCATGTGGACTCTGTTAAAAGCTTGTTGATGGGATCTGGTTTCGAGACACCACTTGATAAGCCTTGCTATTCCTGTTTCTGAGAAATCTAGAATGGGGCGAGAATCCTGATGTTATTGTAAAAGAAATCAATATTAAATTGTTTGATTTTATTTACTGGTCTCATTAAGAGTTATTGAACACCCCACAGTAAAATGTTTACTTTTTAAAGTCTATTACAAAACATATCGTCAGTAATTCAGGCATTTGCGTACCGACAATAATCAATTTAATATTATTTGGTACTCTTTATGGATTTAATTTTGCTACTGCTCCCTCTCCCCCCAAAAATTAGACCAGTGCTGTAACAAATAGTTCCTGTAACTTAGTTTAGAAGACACGACAAAACTCATTTTGCTCAGTGAATTTTGACGACGGTAGATGGTGTGGGCGGTAAAGAGTATAACATGGTTTTGGTGTGAACTCTCGGTAGGGAGAGTTGACCTTCGTGAGACAGGTGAGACCATGGGAGTGTTCAGTGTGTCCGTCACGTTATACGGGCGTAGGAAGGTCAGGGGAAACTCGGACTCTGAGGGCTTTAGCAGAGATGGTCGTGAGGTCCTTCATCCTTGGGCCGTGGAGGGACAGCGTCCCCAGCGGGACGAGATGGGCTGCTCAGAGAAGCGTGCCAGGCCTGCGTGGAGACCGGGGTGGAGGTGGGTGTGAGTGGCCACGGGGTGAGGGTGCGAGGCTCGGTCAGCCGTGGTCCAGTCCTGGAAGGCCTTGGGAGCGGGCGGGTGGCCAGGATGCACACCTCGCGTGGTTTTGCCGTGCAGTAACTACAGAAAAATGATTTTTTGGGGGGAAGGTTCTCTTAGACATGGTCGACAGGAAGAGATTGCAGATGATCAGTGTCGGGGGCCCCTGGCCCACGGTGTGGCCTTCGTTCCTGAGGAGTTGGGGGAGGGGCACAGAGAGCGGAGAACGGGGCTCGACAAACCATCTCGGGGAGGGGGCTTGAGCTTGGCTGTGCACACGGCATTTGACAGGGTGGCACCCAAAGCAGAGGCGGCCGTGCACGTGGCTGGGCTCAGGGTCTGACGTGCAGACTGGGGTGTGTGCACACGCACGTGGGCGCACAGGGCACTTTCCCGGGACACTTCTTGGGGAAGCGTGGAAGGTCGGCGCTCAGGCTCAGGAAAGGCCAGAAGGAGTTTGACGTTCAGGGTATAGAAGGCCTTGTTTAATCGTTTGATTTTAGCCGACTTAATTTGAGTGGTCTTTTTAAAAACTTACTTTAAAACAACCAGTAACCTGTTTTCAACAACTTGTTTGAAAATAATTGTAAGAATAAGTACGTTCGGGCCCGATCCAGTTCTAAAATCCGAATGTTCTGATCGTTTCCGAGATGGCCGTGCTGCGGAGACAGCAGCGGATGATCAAGAACCGGGAGTCCGCCTGCCAGTCGCGCAGGCGGAAGAAGGAGTACGTGCTGGGGCTGGAGGCGCGGCTCCGGGCTGCCCTGTCGGACAACGACAGGCTGAGGCGGGAGAACGGGTCGCTGAAGCGGCAGCTGGAAGAGGTGGTGTCGGAGGTGAGGCTGCCGGAGGCGCGGGTCTCGGGTCGCGGGGTCCTGGGGTTTCACATTTCCAGGCGGGGTGTGTCACACGCTGGCGCTGGGCGGACTCAGTCCGCCTGCTCCCTCTCTGCCCACTGGACTGAGTCCGCCAGGCCACCCCAGGAGGGAAGGCAGCGCCAGCGGAGCAGCCGCTCTCGTCTCTGCAGCCGGCCGCTGTTCAGCCTTTGCGTGGTTGCCGTGCTGGTCCCCGGGCAGCTCGCGGAGACACGCCGCTCTCAGGAGACCCGCCACGCTGTCCTGCGCCAGGCGATGCCTCTGCCTCTGGGCGGGGCTTCTCCGGTCCCTCTGTCTGCCCTGAGCACATGGGGACAGTCTGCTGTGCTGTGGACACTGTGATGAAGAGACGGGGAGACAGACAGCAGAGGCAGCTTAGGGTTCTTCGAGGGTCCAGAAGAATGGAGAACCGCCGCGTTCTCTGCTTTCGGGTGGGGAGGCACCCACCGCGGGCGGCTGCTGCGTCTTCTCTCCTTTCTCCCCTTCTCTCTCTGCCGGACGAGGGCGCTTGGACGTCCCGCCGCAGAGTTCTGAAAAGGGCCGTGCATCGCTGTGGAGCCGAGGTCTCCGTTGGCGCTCACCCGGGTGCGGGGCGCGCCTGTCCTCGGCGTTGCTCCCCGCGAGGCCGGCGTGTGGAGTAACCGCTTCCTACGGCCGTTCCCTTTAGAACCACAGGCTGAAGCTTCCCAGTCCGAAGCGAAGAGCCATCTGTGTGATGATACTGTTGGCGCTTGTCGTCCTGAACTGTGGACCCTTGAGGTAAGTGTGTAGATGTTTGTTTTCATACTGATGCTAAAAATTCAAATTCTCGTCATTATTTTCGCTCTCGTCGTCAGCTAGAGAAAAAGATTCATTTTGTTCTTCTCAGCGATCGGGCGGGAGAACAGAGATGGGATTCCTTCTTGTACTTCGCCTAGGTCTGGCAGAAAGTCCCCGTTTTTTCCTGAAGGAAGCTTGAGTTTTCAAATAGGTCATCGGCAAAGCAGGAAAGCGAACTAGGGTCAAGGGCCTGGGCGTCAGACTGCTCGAGTTCAAGTCCTGGCTCCTCCACTCAGCGACTTCGTTGTCTCAGGCATGCAACTTTCTGTGTCGGTCGGTGCCTTGGTCTCTTTTCAAGTGGGCGTCACAGCAGTGCTGCTGCCACCACCTGCCTCCGTGCTGCGGCGCTGGAGCGTCGGCGATGACAGGCACGTGGGCGGCTTCCTCAGCCTGAGACAGCAAGCGAGGCCCGCGAGTCTCCGCTTGATGCGGGAGGTTTGGAAAGGCAGTCGGGGATCTAAGCGTTTGGCAGCGTTCTGGCTGATTCCGGTGCAGGTCTGCAGCTAACCACAGCTCGAGAAGCGCTGCTTTTAGGGTGGAGTCATGGAGGGGCCTTCGCAGGGGTCTCAGAGATCACCTCTTTCAGATGCCCACTCTCTGTGGCACACGCAGCACGAACACAGTGGCCTCCGTGACGTTGGAGTCAGAGAGTAATTACATGGGGGCCAGGCCGTTGAGGATCTCCTGGCCCTCCGGGAGGGGGACCTGCGCAGGGACAGCTGCAGGGCGATGGGGCGAGCGTCGGAAGACTGGGGTGAGCGGAGTCCTGGGGCGGGGTAGCTCGTTCGCGTGAGGTCCTCGGGGAGAAGGGCCACACCGTACCGATAGATGCTCAGACGTTTTTGTTGAAGGACCTAGTGGAAGGGAAGTCCCCACAGACGACGCTGAATCTCGTGATCACAGTTTGCCGTGTGGGAAGTACGGGAAGGCATGCCAAGGACAGGGAGCAGTGTGTTGAAAGGCTCAGTTATGGCTGACGCTTTCAGAAAAAAAGTGAAGAATTCGGTGTATCTTGTACCCGTGGGAGTGTGTGGGCGGGGCCGTGAGTGCCATGTGCACCCGGGACGTGGGTTCCGTGGCATCGAGAGTGGACGGGATCGAGGACGAATTAGCGGCAGGGTCTGCACGTCTGTCACTCCCACGGCCTGGAGCGCTCCCCCCGAGACCCTCGTGTCAGTCAGCTCCCGTGCCGCCTCGGTGAGGCCCTCCCGGGCCAGCCACCCTCTCTAGAAACTTGCAAGTGTTAATAATCCTGAACTAAGCTGATCTGCAAATCATCCGTAAGCCACACAAACGGCCGCGTTGGGTTGTCCCCTTCCCGGTGTTTGGAGGCAGACTCCTACCCCCAGAGCACTTTCCTTCTAGGACCACAGGCCTACCTGGCTCTCCTCACCTCACGTTCTTCCTCCCCTTCTTTCCTCTGAGGACCCGGTCTGCCTTCTGTGCTTCCCTAGGGAGGGTCCCTTTGTGTTGAAGTTCAGGGTTACAAGCAGGGTAGACTGTGGGATTACAAAGTGTTCACACACAGAATGTGTTCCTGATAAGCCCAGTCTCTAAGACCAGGACTGATGAGTTGGAAGTATTAAGTAGCTATTGCAGTATTTGTTATATACCTGTGTGTGTGTGTTTGTGTTTGTGTGTGAGTCTGTGGGTGTGTGTCTGTCCCAAATTCTCCCATCAAGAGGACATACATCGATGACTGGAGGTATTGGGGAGAGTGGAGAGGAAGAAGTAAATAGGAAATTCTTACATGTAAACAAAAATAGCAGTGTTTTTAAAATAATTTTTTAGCTTTATTTGATAGCCTGTCTCCTGGGATTGTGAAAGGCTGATGAATTTGGCTGTTGACAAAGAGAGTAATTTCTGTTTCACTGGAAATATTTCCTCATTGGAAATATCAGTTTGCAGCAACTAGGAGAATCTCTTTTCTCAGCTATTTGAGTTTAAAGTTTGTTTATATGTGTGTGATACTTATTTCTACTTCATACACATGTACAACAGAGCTTTGAAAGGGTGGGATACTGACTTGGTTTAAACAATTTATAAATAAGGTACTTTATACTTATAAAATTTATTTCCAAGATCGTTTTTCACATGACAGGATGCGAGGCTGTGGGTCGACCACGTCAGTGTGTCGTGTTGTCTTGCTCTGTGCCCAGCGCTGTGGCCATGTGCCTGGACCGACAAGGAACTCGGGTTTGCTTCAGAGCCACATACAGCACGTGTGACATGTTTTTATTTCACTGATTGTTTTGCATTTAAAATTTTTCAGCCTGTTGGAACAGGATCCCAGCAGAACGAACCCTAGCGCGAGCCCGGCGCGTCAGAGGCGGCGTCTCCTGGGATTTTCTGCTCAAGAGACGCAAGACACGCCGGACGGTGTCATCCAGCAAAACGGCCACAGGTAGAGGGCGCGTCTGCTCAGCCGACGCAGTGACGCTGAGACAGGGTTTCCTAGTGCGCCGTGCGTCTAGACTGTTTGGTCTCCGTTTTAGTTAGCAGGGCAAACAAGTTCTTGAGGCTGTCAGTGAATTTTACTGTTAAGATCAGTTCTAAGAATGAATTTCCTTTCCGAAGTCTTTACTGGTTTTAGAATTCTCGTAGAGGTGCGCGCTTAAAGTCTCAGTCTGTGTGCACTAACACACGTCTTGAAACACACAGTACCTACACATTTAAGTAGGTGTCAGTCCATTAATTTGGTGTTCTCACTTTTATCATTATAAATACTGAATAAGAGATACCAAAAATGCGTGCGAAACATTTAAAAGCACCAAATATGGGTGGGTTTTGAACTGAATTTTAGGTGATTTGTTTGTACTCTGCCATGACATTTGTATTCATTTTTTGACTCGTCTTCTTGTTAGATTTCATTTTCTAGGAGAGTTCAGAGAACTGGTTCAACTAAAAAGGTAGATCCCAAGCCCATGAGTCATAATACTGTGTTTGCCTGCCATTTAATTAACTGCATATATTTTTTAGTCTTAGGAATGTGTGATACATAATAAGATGACCATATAATTTGTCAACCAAATTGGGACGCTTCTGAGAATGAAAAGTAGGGCAGGGTTGTTACGTCAGGACATCGGGCTCCAGTCGGGGCTGCCCCGTATAAACGAGGGAGGACAGTCGCCCTGCGTACAAGGCACCGGCCAGAACCTGCCCGTGTTCCAGGCGTTCTCCTCAGCCCGGCCCTTTCCGTTAGTGCTTTACGTGCTGCAGGTCTCGCCCTTGAGCGGTTTACAGGCGCAGAGCTCGGCTGCCTCCGGGCCGGCGCGGGTCTGATTGTCTCCAGATTGCGCTGGCTCAACTCACCCGCGCTCTTTCCTGGTATTTCTTCTGTCCAGCTTTTTTCTTTTCCAAAGAATATTTTTGGCTGGTAGAACAAAGCCAGTCAGCACAGATGTGCAGAAATCATTACGAGAGTTTATCGTGTGGAAATAAAATTATAAATCAGAAATGTATTTTCAAAAGCAGTTTCGGCCTTCTCGAATGCACTACAACATTTGTGTCTTTGTAGGTAGGCAGGCCTGGCTTTTAAAACGACGTGTCTGTGACAGGCCTTTGTTCCCAGGTTTATCGTGTGGCAGACAGCCTCACAGGCACTCAGACTTCACCACGGACAAGGCAGAGTTTTTTCTCCCTCAGCCTTTCGATTCCGGCTGATTCCCTTCTGTGTGCACAGTCATTACCCGGGCAGCGCCGTCTCTGTTTTATTCCAAACAACTTAGTGTCGATAGGCAGGAGACCTTAACTTAGTTTTCCACTCTGCCACATCGTATTTGTCAAGGGGCCAGTGATTTCAGTGTCAATAACTGGGGGCTAGATAGATGTGAATTACTGTGATGATTTCTGTAGAAAATGAGAAAATGACGTTCGTGCTATATGGTCTTTTCTGTCATATTTGCTTCTGTCTGAATGTATGTTCTATTTATTATATTTTTATTTCTGTAAAAAACTAATTCCAGTTATGATTTTCTACATTAGACTTTTAGGCAGTTAAGGTGCGAGAAGCCACATTCTGTGCATGTGTGTTTCAGATACGGCCGCTCCGTTCCCAGTGACAAAGCCCTGATGGTGCTGAGCGAGGAGCCCCTGCTCTACCTGCCCCCGCCTCCCTGTCAGCCCCCGGTCAACGCCACCGAGTCCCTCAGGCGAGTGTCGCATCTGGGTGGGCTCCCGCGCTCCGCTGGGGGTCGGGGACAGCCTTGCTCGGCTTGGTTGGGCGGCTGAGAGGACCTCCGAGGTATCTGTCCGGTGACCGTAGGCGTCTCAGTGGGGGTCCCGTTTCCGTAGCAGCCTGCTGGAGGCGTGACGGGTCTGTCTCACGAGCTGGCAGTGGGGTTCGCACACTTGAACACGTCTTACTTGAAAAGCACAGAATGAAAGCTCAGGTAAGGGTTAGACCAGCGGTGGTAGCGTTCAGAGCAGAAGGTCCCTTTTCTTCAGATTAGGGAGAAGATGATCTGGAGATGTAGCTCTGCGTACACTTTCCCGTCCGTGCGCCTTTTCCTACCCGCTTTTCCCTGGACTTCTTTCCTGTGATTTTGGATCCTAGCCTCGAACCTCAAAAGCTGCCTGAGTTTTTTCTTTGTGATAAGTAGTGATCAGCTGTAGTTAAGTAAACATAGGTAAAACTGCTTCACAGCTGCTCTAAAAAGTAAGCAAAGTAAAGGGAAATTTTATTGGGACTAGGCTTTAAAAAAAATTCCTGGTGTTGGAAAATTGGGAAGTTTGGAGTCTAGTGTGTTAAAATATCCGGGTTTTTTTCCAAGCACTCCAGTCCGTCCTTTCCTTCTCCTGAGGAGGGTGGTTTTCGCAGGCCGTAGCGCCCCGCTCGTGGGCGGGGGCCCCGTGGTGGCCTGGCGCTCCCTGGCCCGTGCCGTCGCTGCACATGGCCAGGGGCAGAAGCGAGAACCGCTTCCGTGCGGCAGGTGTCCGGCTGCGGGTCGTTGAACCGTGAGCTCGTGGTCGAGGAGGCTACATGGAAAAATTCATGTCGTATAAACCACACGGTGTCTTCGCTCTTCCCAGTCAAAAAGCAATACCGAAGTCCAGACGCTGGGACGCTTCCTGGAACCTGTGGGATAGGGCGAGATGGTTATTTCTGGTAACACGTTTAATTACGCTGTTTTATAGGTTAAATCATGAACTCCGAGGGTGGGTGCACAGACACGAGGTGGAGAGGACCAAGTCGAGAAGAATGACGAATAGTGAACTGAAGACCCGCATCCTCCAGGTGTGTCTGCTCGGCTCTGGCTCTGCCCGCGGCCCCGGCGGGGCCGCCCTCTTCCCTTCAGGGTGTTCGAACTTGAGCCGCGCCCCCTGCTGCTTCCGATGCCGTCACCCCGGGGGAGCCCCCAGGTTTCCTAGCACTGGGCCAGGGCGCAGGGTGCTGCCCCCTGCCCTCTCCCGCAAATTTGCTTTCCAATCAGGGGTTCCTGTGCCTGGACATCGTATCAAATATTTTGTGGCACAAAATGCTTAACAAATGACACTATGTATCTCCTGTTCTTAGAGCTTTTCAGAAAGGGCGTTGAAATGTGGGGCAGCCTGGAAGTGAAGCCCCATCTCCCTGGTGGCACCCTCGGCCGTAGACATGTAGCAGTGTGGATGGGCGACAGCTTGGACTCAGCTTAGTTAGCCGCCTTCCCCTGCATGTCCTTGGCCACAAAGCGCCATCTCTCGTAGTCACTCCGTCTTCATCATGTATTTTTATTACTGCTTCCGAAGAACTTAGACTGGCAGCTGGCACATTGCAAGTTGCCAGCAAATGTCCCCTGTGGTGGCAGCTGTGAGCCGGGTCCTATTCCCGACCCTGAGGCCCGGTGGTGAGTCTGACGGAACCCTCGCCTCAAGAATTTACATCGTAGTGAGAGAGAGAAACAGGAAACAAGTGAATAAACACTTACGTATACGCCACATGAAAGACGTTCTCTAAGAAAGAGTGGGTTGGAAGTCAACGTGTAAACTGGGAGACAGGCGGCTGCTTTGGATTAGGTGGCGAGGGACAGCTCCTCTAAGGAGACTCCACTTGTGGCAGCAGCCTCCAGTTCTCAGCAGTTGAGTGGACAGAGGTTCGTTGTCCCTCGAAGTCTGCCGGAGCTTGCCAGGTGGCTTTCCTTTAGCAGTGACCAGAGAGGCCTGGCCCAGGCCAGCTCGGGCGCTGACACACTGAAACACGGGCCTCTCCGAGACCTTTGTTCACGTTATGGCAACTTGATTGGTTGTTGGTACTTCTGGAGGTTAAGGCCATTGTCACCAATGTCACAGCTACTGCAGAGTTCCAAAGCTGCTAGTGGCCTTGGAATGCAGTGTACAGTTCTGCAAAACTCCTGTGTGCCAGCGTGGCCAGAGGGAAGATGGACTCTGTCCCCCTTCTGCTTTCCAAAATCTGGTGCCAACTAGTGTGTCTCGTTGGCAGGACATTAATATTATCCAGAACCCCAGTGGCAACAAGTTTGGGTAGAGTAAATTTTGGGCTTCTGTCCCTTGCTGTACAGGGAGGAGCAAGGAGGGGTGGGACTAGATCATCGCACACAGCTGGCACATGGGCTTTACGAAAATTCGATTAAAGTCCTTGGCCCAAGTGAGTTCTTTTGCCTTGTGACATAATTTTTCATGTTAGTTTATCCTGCACATTAGATAAATACACAGAGTAATGGGTGGTCAGGGCTCCTTGATCTTGAAGGAATGTTCGTGCAATGGAAATTATTTTAATTTTACAGCCTTGGAACATTTGGAGCGATTTCTAGTTTAAAGTCTTCTCTCTCTCTCTACCGTCTTGGGCGCGGATCTTTCTTTAGCGAGCTTGGGTAGTGTTGAGAAGTGTGGGACTCCACGCCATTACAGAGAAAGGACTGACATGGGTAAGTCCATATTAGTCAGGGTGAGAAGTTCTGCTCAGTCAGAGGAGGGAGAACCCTCCTCAGCTGTCGGCGCCAACGCTTACGGACAGCCCAGTGGTTCGCGCGGTGTGGAGCCAGCAGCTGCTCTGCTTGGTCCTCAGCTTCTCTGGGTCTGGGTGAGTGTAGAGCGTGCAGCTGGGTTTCGTTCCTCATTTCAGCCTTTTCCCCTCGCACCACCCCTTTCAGGTGGAATGTGGACCCAGTAGTACAGTAAGATCATCTGTGTATTTAACAGATTGACATTCTTTGAAGTTTCTGTCATTTCTAAACCTTACGTACCACATTTGGCTTGCGTCATTTCGTAATTCTACCCTCTTTATAGACTGAAGTGTTAGAAGAGGTAAAGGATCGAATTAATGAAAATATTTTTCAAAATGAAGAGAAAATAGGGATATTTCTAGGTAGACAAAAACTACCGTAATTCGTCTCCAGAAGATCTGCACTGTAAGAAATACTAAAAGAGGTGGTTTAAACTGCAGGAAATGGCGTCAGATAGAACCAGCAGGAAGGAAGAGCGAGAGAAATAATAGATGCTCCTCCCGCTTTTAGTGTATTTTGTGTTTGTGTGTGAATGTAAATGTCTTTAAAAGCCTTTCTTTTTTTTTTTTAAAGTAAAAACTCAGAGCAGTTCGTTGTGGGGGTTACAGGTTATGTAGAAGTAAAATACAAGATGATAGGAGCAGAAAAGTATGGAGGCGGTAGATGGAGTATACTCTTAGGAAAATTTTGTGTTGTTCAAATGATATTTCCAGGTACACTATGATCACTAAGATCGAAGTATAATTGCTAGAGCAAACACTAAAAGCTAGCACAAAGAAGTACAGCTTAAAAAGTGAGTACAGGAAATAAAAATGGAATACTAAAAGTACATTTCAACCAAAGAAGGCAGGAAAAGAACGCACGATAAAGAACAAATAGGGTACATAGAAAAAAATACCAAGATAGTAAACTAAGCCCAGCCACGTTAGTAATAAAATTTAATAGACTAAGGATATCAGCTTAAAGAGAGACTGGCAAACTAGAATTTTTAAAAGACAAGACACTATTCTATGTTGTTTACGAGAAATAACATTTTAAATATAAAGACACAGATGGAAAATAAATGGGTGACAAAGTGTGTATACTGTGCAGACATGAAGCATTAGAAAGCCGGGGTGGCTGTATTCGTCAGAGAAAGTAGACTTCCAGACAGAATAGTACAAGGAACAAAGAAAGAAATGTGATCGTATAAAAGGACATTAAATCAAGACAACATAATTCTAAATATATAGGCTCCTAATAACAAAACTTTAAAATACATAACGCAAAAAAGTGACAGAACTGAAGGGAAGACAGCTCCACACGTCGCTGGAGATTTTAAATCCCGTTCCCTCCCGCGTAACCACCTGCCGTTTTTGCCGATCCACATCCTGCGATGCCAAAGCTCACTGCCGGTTTTTCAGAGGTTCCTCTGCTAACTGGCCTAAGTCTTAGGTAGGTAACCGGCGAATCCAGTTTCTGTTTGCTCAGTGTCTCTGTAAGCCGGTGTTTTAAGGCTGCTCCCTTCTGAGTCAGGGAAGGAAGTGTCGCTTCTCCCGGCGAGACCTCTCGACGCTTGGTCAAAAGGCGTGTGCCAGCGTGAAGGCTTCGTGGCTCACTCAGCCAGCGGTGGAGTCTGGCCTCCCCGTGGGCCTTTCAGACTTCAGGAGCTTTTCATTGGGAAGAGAAGTATTTTAGACCAACATAGTTGTTAAATGTTCAGTCGTACCTGCACGACTTGGTCATAAAACTTGAACTGAGCGTTTGGGCTGTTTTCTAAATAACTTTATGAGAAGTGTCCTAAATGTCTCACTCTCCATAAGACGCATCTCTTGGCCCAGAGTGTGACCAAAGGAGTTGTAATTTCTGTGTTGGCGTCGAGTTATGTAAACTTACTACGTTTACATAATATTCATGAAAAAGACACCAACCGTGATGTTTTAATGACAGGTCGGTAAATGTAAGTGCCGACTGAGTCGCTACGGGGAGACCTTCATGGAACTTCATGCTATGGCTTTAACCTGCTCTTTGGGCTCTGGAGCAGGACTCGGGGTCTCAGCTCGTGGCCGTCCAGTACACAGAGACCACTAGCATCAGGTGAGGAAGTGGGGCCGCTCCGGACCAGGAATTGAACGTGAATTACACTTGGCCCTCATGAGTCATGAGTTCTGTATTTGTGAGTCGCCTACTTGCTAAAATTTATTTGTGATCCCGAAGTCAGTACTCAGAGCACTGGTGTGGTCATCTGCAAATGTGCGGTGTTCCCAGGCGAGGTCATCACAGCGAAGCTCTCCTTGCCCGTCTCTGCCCTCGCGTGGTAAACAAGTGTCCTTTCTGGGGCGTATTTAGTGTCACATTTTCCACATTTTTATGCTTTTTCGTTGGAGACCTCGTTTAAGATGGCCCCAGTGTGGTACTGAGCTGCTGTCTCGGGTTCCTAAGTGCAGGAGGGGCCGCCCTGTGCCTCGTGGGGACGGCCCATGTCACAGGAGCTTCATTCAGGCCTGGGCTTGGGGAGCTCAGTGCTGCGGCGTGAACACGTGTGTTGAACGGGGGGCCCTGAACAGGTGCAGACGACAAGGCGATGTGTTGATCTGCGGTGGAAATGCCACCACCAGGGCTCACGGGAGCCTGGCGCACGACTCGCTAATTCAGGGTCCCACAGACTACGAACAAAACTGTCATGAACTTTAAAAATTGACTATATTCAAAGCGTCATGGTCAGACATGGCTAGTGAGCAAAGGACTTGCTTCAAAGGGAGACCTTCGACTCGCTCGTAGTTCCCTTTCAGGGCTCTGTTTCTCCTCGTCGGTCAGTAAGGACCGATTGGAGGTACAGAAGGAGAGCGCGTGAGGGAGGACACGTGCGAGTTCTCTTTCTGCAGAAAGATGAAGCATCATTTCTGAGAGCACGTGAGGGAGAACACGTGTGAGTTCTCTTTCTGCAGAAAGATGAAGCATCATTTCTTTAACTCTCCTTTAACTAATTGTGTTAAACAGTAAAAGACTTATTCTTGAGCCCTATAGTGATGTCATCTGAGTGAATCTTTGGGGATACGCTGTGGTTTGAGGCGCTGTAATTTTATTTACAATTTTATCATGGCGCTGCCACAGTACTGATATCTCTGCTGCGGATTGCTGAGCGAGTCCTGGGGGACAGGAGCCACACGTGGCACTTCACCTGCAGTGTCACGTCTCTGGCCCCAGTCACCGTCCTGCAAGGTCCGTTTATATAGTTATTCTCATTCTGTTGGTGAGGAAACCGGGGTTGCTCAGAGGTTGACTTCCCCGAGCATCCCCACTTGAGGGCGGCAGGGATCCAGAGCCCAGATCCCAGCGTCAGTCCTAAGCTCTCTGTACCTTCCACGCAGCCTCCAGGCAAGTGTATCTTCCCAGACTTGACAGAGCAGTGAAAAGAACTTTTCCTCAGCCTTAAGTTTTGTTACCAAAGAGTTTAAAATCATGCAAACCAGCACGTCTTCATCATGTATTATACGTTCATTATTTTCTGATACGTTCATTATTTTCATGTGCGTTATAATGCACTTGACTTTCTGGTACATTCTCAAACCTCTATCTAGAAATGAGTTTCCACTTTAGTGAATTGACTCTTCCAAATCTCCTGACCTCGAGCCTTTCAAAATGTTATAAAAAACTGCCAAACTGCCACTGGCGTCCTGGTCGAGATTGTCACGCCGCAGACGTGGCCTCAGAGCGGGAAGCATCTCCGAGGGGCCATGAATCTGGCGGTGGAGGACACTTGCCTGTCTCTCGCTCCTGCAGGAACTCGGGACGTGAGCTCCAGGTGTACCACGCCTCCCCCAGAAGCTACCACGACTTCCTCGATGCCATCCGCAGAAGGGGGGACACGTTCTACGTTGTGTCGTTCCGAAGGGTAAGTGCTCTCGGAGGCACGAAGGAGCTGCCGAGCCCTGCGTGGTCCGCGGCGCCGGCTGGCCGTGGCCCCACGGGGCCGGGCCGCTCAGGTCAGCAAGGAGCTGAGGTCAGGCGGGCAGTTGGTACCGAGGAACGATATGCTCCTTGCTGGCTTTGTCACCCCTGTGCATGAGCCAAGGAGGAGGGGAAACGGGCACGTTTCTGGGAGGCCGGTGGCGGGACGCCCATCGGCTGTGGAGAAGTCGGGGTCCTGACACCCCTGCTGGGGAGGACGTGTCAGCCACCCGGCAGGCTGTGCGAGAGTCCGTGTGTACACAGCCCCTGCACGTTGTGGAGTAGATCGTTTTCGTGCTGTCTCTTTCCCATTAAATGCAAACCTGTGCTCCGTAGAGCTGCCATACGCGTGTGTGGGTGTGCTGCGTGTCAAGCCAGGGACACAAGAGCTCGAACGCCTCCACGGTCTGGGCCTGGGCTTTTCCTTTTCCTTTTTCGAAGAATGGAGCGGGGCCGGGGTTATAGATAAGCACACGCTAACCACAGAGTAAGCAGTTCATTCTCTGGTTGTCAGCGCTCGCTACTGAAACGCTCGGGAAACTCAGTTCCTTTCCTGAGGTTTCAATACCTAGGAGCCCAGAATTTCAGGACCAGAGAACTGTCACGTTTGAAGGTTAGGGAAGCGTTCCATAGTTTTGGTCATGGATCGAATGTGCTGGGAGATTTGGAAGACTTCGGTGACGCGGCTCACGATGTCTGCCTTTTCGTAGACTTCCCGGTGCTCGGCCTGTTCTCGAGGTCTGTCTGTCGTTTCTGCGCTGCACCGGCCTCCCGCTGGCTTTCAGCAGCAGGGGGCGGCTGGGAGCAGGGTCTCCGCAAGGCTCCAGCGGGCCCGGCTCATGAGAACTAAGTGTGTGCTTTACTGTTGACACAGTCATGTTTGAAGTGGAAGAAAAGAGTAAACTTCTGCAAGTGGGACCCAGCGCTGCGGAGGGGAGGCTTGGCGGATGTGAAGGCGAGTGCGCTGAAGGTGCACGCCATGGGGTTACCGCAGAAACGCGTTCCATTCGCATCTGGCCCAGGACTCCTCCGAGGTTCGGGCCAGGTTTTCTATTCGATCCAAAGAGTTGGGTATATATTCGCAGTTGCAATTGTCAAGCCATGTGTTGAAGTCACGGTTAGTGATGTCTTTCTAAGAAAGAGAAGTATTTTTTACAGAAAATATTCCTAGCTTTAAAGGGACAGTATTTTACAAAGGAAGATGGATGGTACTTTTAAAAATACGTGCTTTACGTTTCTCGTGTTTGTGAAAGCTATTTCTTATTAGTTAGCGGTCTTCCTCACGCGGGGAAACTGTCAGGGCGCTCACGTTCGGTTTGGATTTTTCGTTTCTTGATTACTGATTTGTCCCATCTCGGTCTTATGTATTAAGGAGAAGCAAGAACGAACTTGAACCTAATGAGAAAACAGTAGTTAGAGACATCTTTTTGCATTTTTTTTTGTTTTAAAAGTGGGGTAAGGAGTTAATTTTATCATGGTGACTATAATCTATGTCATGGGACAGGAATTTGGTTCTTAAATCCTGGATTGTCCTTTCTGTTCCTGCTAGAATGGAAAGAAAAGTAGTAATGACCTCATGCTTGTTTTTTCTTCAATTTTTCGATGTAGAATACGCTAACAGTTTCATCAGAAAGGTGAGTGGCAGCATTTCTCGTGCAGAAGATTGTAGACTTTTTCTCCCACTTAGGTTCTTAATTCCATGGACAGAAATTATTGCAATTGGTACCGTATGGTTGTATCGGAAACTAAGAAATATAGAGATTCTGAAGCCCGAGGCTTTGCTTAGTATAAAGTAGACATGACAGAGCCAATAAGCGGCTGCATTATTTTATTCTGTAATTGGACTGTAATTGTATTTAACAAGTATTTTGATATCTAAAGTAGGAGTAGCGTGGACTGTTTCGTGGTTCGTCATCTGCTAAACCAGCTCTTTCCCGGATGTGCCCTCCCTCCCACCCCACTCCTGCACCTTCTGCCTCTCTGCGGTTGAGCCACCGGCAGAGGCGCCCATGGGCGACCGCAGCGCCCCTGCCCAGTGTCCTGGCCGAGCTCACGCTCTCCTGTTTGACTTCCTTCAGGTTTCGCCTGCACCCGGCGTCGCCGTGTCGTTCCAGGTGTTCACGGCTTGTGCTCCTGTCGGTGCTGCCTCTTTCTCCCCCCTTGACTCGCTCTGGTGTGGTTTGGAGCAGGGCTTGCTGGGAAATAACTCGTTCTCAAACTTCCAGGTCACTCTGATGGTATAACTGATGCGTTCATAAGAAAAAAATCCCGTAAAGTTGAATGTATCTTTTTTTCTTGATGCTTTCCTGCGCTAGTGTATTCAGGGAGGGAGGGGCCGGCTAAAGGCCACACCAGCCTGGCTTCCGGAGCGCGGGACAGGAGCAGGCGGCAGGAGCGAAAGCGCCAGCTAAGGTGGGAAGCTGAGTCCGGAGCGGGGGGCCGGCGCTGGGGGCAAAGGAGGCAGAGTGGGGTCACTTTTCCTAGAACTAGTGCACTCCGAGGTGTGGTGCCGCCCTCTGGCCCACCGGTACCCCAGAGGCCCTTTTCATCTTCTGGGGCAGTTGCCCACTAAAAGTCGGGTCTCTCCGATGCCGACATGCCAGCTCCACTCCCGCCTGATACTTCTTTTTCAAATGAGATGGACGCCACTTCGGGAACACTTTTAATTTCTGGCATATTTTCTGCTTTCGGTACCTGTCCCTCAGATCAAAAAGAGACACCTAACTTGCCTTCTCATCTGTGTCAGATACCTACAGAGTGTCTCACACACAGCGAGGACCGGAGCTGTCGCCTGGGCCTGCCTCAGAAATGCCCCCCTCTCTCTGAGCACGTTCTGTGCTCGCGGGTCCGGCCGCGTCGGTCTCTTCTGAGCTGTTCGTCAGCAGTGCCAGGCGTGTGGCCTGGGTTAAGTCACAGGGTCTTGCTGTGGCGGGGGAAGCGGAGGAGACGGCCCCGCGGCCGGCAGTCCCCTGCTTGTGCTCCGGTCCGCGTGCCGCGTCGGAGCCGTTCCTGTCATTCCTGATCCTGCGGCCGCACAGCAAGAAGGTCTGGTCAGATGTGGACGGTTAGCGCCCCCTTTGGAGAACTGCGCCGACAGCCTCGTCTGGTGACCCACAGGCCGTCATCGACCAGAGAGCGGGGTCGACAGCACGGACCGCGTTCTCGTGTCTTGGAAGCCAGTGTTAGGCCCAGGCGCAGCCTGGCCTGCTCTTCTGAGAAGACGGTCGCGAGGGGTCTCGAGGGCTTTGTGAACTGTTGTTCCACTGCGCAGCCTGACTTAAAAAGTCCTCGCCGTGTCGGTCCCTGACTGTTTGAGCTAAAAGGCTCATCTCTACGTCCTGAGCCTCTTGAGAGCGGAGAGCGTCTCGTGCTTTTCCGTTACCGCCCCTGGTGCTCGGCACAGCGCCGCCTCGCAGAGCAGTCTTAGGCGTGCTGCACTGAAAGACGCCCCAGTGCTGGAGCTGCGTTGTTTCCATCGTCTCTTAGGGACTCTTTTTACATCTGTTGCTTAAGGAAACTTGGGTCTATTTTAGTGATCCAAGAAGTAATAAGCAGTGCTGAACTCCGGGAGAAAGTTCTTTGGAGACGGCTGAGCAGAGACGCATCGGCTTCGTTCTTGTCTCAGAATCTAAGCTCTAGAGAGAAGAAATCACGTGGGTGACATGTTTAACAACCCACGGGACTGCAAGGTACTTGCATCCTCAGGTTTGAACATTTGGCAGAAACGTTTTGGAGTGTATTGTCATTAGAACTTCCTGCTTTCTTTTCTGGAGAAAGGATGCTGTCTGGTATCCACAGGGATTCAAGCAGCATGAGCCAGAAACTTGAAACTTTGGGCAAAGTAGAGGGAAGGCTGTAACGGTGCAGAAAGGCCGGCAGGTGATGTGACTGGAAGACCACTTGAAAAAAAGTCACAAACGAGCAGTGATATTTCCTAAATTAATGCCTAGATGACTACCTAATACATGCTCGGAAGAGTGGCCTGTTTTCTTAGCGCATGGCACTTATTTTTTGGAAGTTTCTGTTTGGTGTGTGTAACTACGCAGCCTCCCAGACAGCAGGAGCCTCCCTGGTGCTCAGAGGCAGCTGGCGTGCAGAGTCCGCCCCCCAGGGGCCTCGGCCGCCCTCGGTGCAGGACTTCCCGGCGGGGGCGCGCGCGGTCTGCGGTCTGGCCGTGTTGTTATCTACACCGTTACGGCCTCCTAGCCAGATTCTTTCTCCATTTGGAAAAGAAATGTGAATATGTGAGTTTGGAAAGATACTTGCTTAAAAAAAGTCTTATCGCAGTAGAGAGACATTTTGAAAAACCTTTTAGAAGGTTTTTTTTTTTCTTCTAATTTTTAACTCACTTCGAAACGCACTCTCATCCAAGTCTAAAGCACATTATAAAAAACAGCTGATTTGTCTGAGTGCCCGCTTAACCCAGGGTAACTTAGTGATCACACTGGTCACAGTCCGTGTCCGTGTCTAGTCAGCTGTGTGCAAATGCTGACGCCTCTCATGTCCAGGAACAGTGTGCTTCACGAGTCTCTTTTACCTACGTCATCTTGTTAGTGTCTTTCACGTGGCAGGGTCAGTATTCCTGGTCCCATTTACAGACGAAAGAGCGAGAGCGTTTGGCGGCCTGTCTGAGGACACGGAAATGGCACGCGCCGGAAGGGCGGCTGTGAGCGGAGCGTCCTGGCTGAAGGGCGGCTTTCCCTTTGCAACTGTGTAAATGGAAAAGTCACTGCTCCTCACAAGCCAGCCCTGTGACGCTGCCAGATCTGCCTGTGGTTTTGCTGGAGCCCTTGCAGAACAACTAAGTTCATTCCGTTTGTTTATTACCCGATTATGGTTAGAGCACTCTAGGTGACACTTTCTTAACAGTGAAGAATAACTTAATTGTCCGAAAGATTACACTATAACTTTAGATTTTAAACCGGGGAATAGGGTAAATGGGCT